GCTGAGAAAAGTAAAGGCTTGGCAAAAGAGAGGAAGGCAGGCCCTGGATGAGATGGATTAACATGGTAACTACAGCAGTGGATTTGAGCCTGGCAGAGACCTTGAGGAGGAGCAGGGGAGGCCAAGGGTCGTTCCAGGAGTCTCTGTGAATCATAATTGATGCAACGACACTTAACAACCTAGATTGCCTTTAAGAGACCATTGGTGGATGTTGATTGAATTGTGCACATCAGAAGTAATTATTTGAGGACTTAGAAGAACAGGAGGTGAACCTGAACACTGGTGGAGGCAGAGAGAGAGGCAGCCTCAAGAAACAGCGGCCAGCGCAGGAGCTGATCCTCAGAGTAGACCAAGTATCTTTAGGCTGGAAGCTTCCTGGCAGGGTGGAGAGACTTGAGGGCCATGTCACTGACACTTAGAAGTGACATTGATGATCCAAGTAGTGAGAGAGCTGAATGCCATAGGGCTGATGCGTACTAACAGAGTGGGGATCCTTCAGGAGCTGAGAAACTCAGAGTGTGGAAAGCAGACCTCAGAGTAAGGCTGTATAGCCTTGCAGATCTCAGAGGATGGGGTCACGGTTTCTGGGCTTTCAAAGAGTAGGGCCATAGCCTTCTAAGGTTCAGAGAACCAGATCTTTACCAACAGTTCCAGAACATGGGGCCTAACATTCACATATTGAACTGCTGACCAAAAGGTTGGCAGTTTGAATCCACCAAGTGGGCGATGGGCAGTCTCCTTCTGGAAAGACCTACAGCCTTGCAGACCCATTGGAGAGTCTCCATGAACCTGATTTGACTCCATGGCGGTGGGGTTTGGGGTTTTTGGTTTTTTTCTTTTTCCGTTCATTCATTGTTGCACATTTTCCTCCTGCGGTTTGCGTTTTATAGGAGCACGAGATAATTAACTAGGTGTGTTGCCTCTTAGACTGGGAGGTACTGATTCCTCATCACCTCTGCAGCGTCACTCCTAGCTGTTTTGTTCTTTGTTGGAATCTGTTCCCCTGTCCCTGCTCGTTCAGGCCTCCTTGGGGGGCCCAGGCTTTTGCTCAGACCCAGCCCATTCTCTGCTATCAGTCTAAAATTGTGTCATGTGGACTTTGTATAGTAGCCAGCCTGTGACCCCATCGTGGATTTTCCCTGTCTCTGGCCTTGGGAACTCCTCCCACTCTTGGGAGTTCTCAGACACTGCAGAATCTCTGTGCCTCCCAGTGAGCAGCAGCCTCAGAAGAGTCTCTGACACATAGTACAGAGGGTGGAGGGTGCCCACGTCATTTTTCCGTAGCAGAGAGCAGAAAGATGAGACAGATCTGGTAATGAGCTTGGAGGCAACCGTGGATTGCAGCTAGTTACATTGATGGCCTTGAGCAGGGCATTTCATGCTTGAGCCTCAGGTTACTGATCTAACAAACCAGGGGCAGTTTTAAAGCTTAACAGAGATAATGGTTGTGTAATTTCCGCATAAATGCTTTAAAAGTTATTTCATTCTAGTATGCAGTCTGTACATAGCCATTGTGAAGATGACCTCGAAGAAGCAGAAAGCACAGCCTTTGCCTCCTAGCCTGTATCTGTGTTATCTTACAAACGTTGTTGTCAGGAATGAAATGAGAATGCATCTAAAACCATGAAGTATTTTTAAAATGGCGTTTCTTGTTACAGATTGACTGAGGTGATCCCACACTTCCTTCGTTGTGTTTTTAGGGAAGAGGTGACCCCCATTGCAAGTCTCTTTCCCTTTGGTACTGTCCAGAAAGGAAACTGTTGTGCCCTGCTACTGAATTATTCTTCCTGAGGCTGGGTTTTCAAATGAGTTGCTGGGAGAACTTGGATGAGAAGAATGATTTGCAGTTGAACAAAGCCAGCCCTTTGCCGTCACCCTCTTGCATGAGCACAGACACTTGCTTTCCACAGACCTCCTCTGTTCACCGACACCCCTGTCCCTTAACTGTTAAGAAACTACCTTGTCAGAGTGCAGGTCAGGGCTTCCCCTGAAATCTGCTTCAAATGACCCCTCACCTAAAGACTCCTTGATGGATAGTGTTGTTGTTAACTGCTGTCAGGTTGATCCTGACTCATGGTGACCCATCTGTGTGGAGCGGCAACTGCTCCGTAGGGTTTTCAGACCTCCAGGCTTGTCTTCTGATGTGCGTTTTGAGGGGTGTGAACTACCAACATTTTTATAGGAGCCATGTGCTTAACTGTTTATGCCACCCAGGGATTCCTATGCATAGGGTGGTGGTGGTGGTTGTTTTGTACCATAGAGGCAGAACCGACCCATAGCTAACCCTCCAGTGGGTTTTCAGAGGCAGTAAATCACATGGGAGGAGATTGCCCATTCTTCTCGCATGGAACAGCTGGTGGCTTCAAACCGTATGTCTTTGAGATTGCAGTGTAGTCTAACAAAATAATTTTCTATTTACTGTAGCATCAAACATTATACAGAATATTCAAGATATAGTACCTCAATTCAGAACTCATTTGTAAAACATTCTCTGTGTATACTGAGGGTGTGTGTGTGTGTGTGTGTGTGTGTGTGTGTGTTGCATACCATCAGAAAGCTGGATAATGACTTGATGATAGAAGGAGAATTGATGCCTTTGAACTGTGGTGCTGAAGAAGAGTATTGAATATACCGTGGACTATTAAGAGAACAAACAGGCTTGTCCTGGCGAGGGTGAAACCAGGTAGCTCCTTAGAGGCAAAGATTCTTAAGCCCCATCTGACATAATTTGGACATGGTGCAAGGAGGGACCTAGTCCTTGGAGAAGGACATTATGCTTGAGAAGGTAGAGGGACAGTGCTGGAGGGAAAGACCCTTGATGAGATGGATTGACTCTCACTGGAGTAATGGGGATAGGTGTGTTGGAGACAGTGAGCTTGGCTCAGGATGGAGCAGGGGTCAGAGCTCTTATATATAGGATTGCTATGAGTCACAGGCAACTTGACAGCACATAACAACCACCATCTACGTAGAACTGACTCATAGCTGACCCTCCAGCGTGTTTTCAGAGGTAATAAATCTCACAAAGATTATCTTTCTTCCAAGGAGCCGCTGATAATTTTGAACCGCGAGCCTGTGTGTTAACAGTACAACTCCTTACCACTAAGCCACCAGAGCTCCCTACAAGAGAAAAAAGATTTTATATATTTATATATATGGAGCTGTGGTAGCCTAGTGGTAAGAAACTACTGTAATCCCCAAGGCATGCGGTTCAGATCCACCAGTTGCTCCACAGAGGATGGGCGGTTTTCTCCCATGAGATAAACCCACTAACGGGTCAGCTATGGGTCATTTTTGACAAGGTGGTACTCAAGAACTATCTATATCTATATACACACATAAATACACAGTAAACTATAAAAAGATACAAAATTAATACATAAACTATAAAATCAACTATATATCAAACTAATTATAGACATACACACATACTCAAAAAAAATTCTTTTGTAGTTGAGAATACACACAGCATGCACACTGTAGTGACATTGATTACATTCTTTGCATTCTGGGCAACCATTCTCATCCTTCTTTTCTGAGCTGTTCCTCCCCCATTAGCATAAACTCACTGGCCCCTAAAAATAGTCTCTCTCATCTTTCAAGTTGCTTTGCAGATTGGATTTAGTATATAGATAGATTTTAAAGAGCATAATTCTCAATGCAGACATTCTTTACTAGTTAGGCTAAACCATTATTTGGTTGTAAGAAAGCTTCAGGGGATAATATGTGATTTTAAAGATAATTTCAGGGTAGTAGTTTTAGTGAGTCTGGATTCCATGAGAATTTGACATTCTGTTCTGCATTTTCTCTCTTGTGATAAGAGTTTCTCCTGACATCTTCTCCTAGAAACTTCTAGAGATAGATTTCTCATGCTTCTTGAACAAGTTTTGAGATTTGCAAAGTGCTTGCCAAGTGACTGAGGTATGAGGTCAATCCCCAGCTCTCATTGCACAGGTCTCTGTGTCCTGTGCTCCTCTCCACACTCCGCTCTGCCAGCAGAGAACAGAACTGAGGTCTCTGTTTAAAAGAGAGAATTGGCAGCCATGCTGACTCCCAACAGAGCTCTGGCTTTGATGGGTGTTTGTTTTTGTGTGTGTTTTGTTTTTTAATGGGTGTGAGACTTCTGGCTCATCAAAAATGAGAACTGGGGAACGAAGCTCAGGATTAGCTAATGAAGTGTTGCTTTTATTCATTCTACAGCTGTCAGGGTGCATGATCAGCCTCAAAAAGTGAAGGTTCATCAGTCCTGCTGGTGGCAGGAGAAAAGGGCAATTAGATTTGACTCTTTTGCATGGCCAGACGCTGGTCCTTGAGTGCCCAGAAGGTTGACCAAGCGCCTTATCTCAGGAGCTTGCTGCTAGAACTGCCTGTGCCGGTGCCTGCCTCCCCACCCACTCCGGCTCTGCACTGGGGCAGGCTGGGATCAGAGCTAACTTGCTGCAAATTCATTGTTTGTTGACCTAAATCCTAGCGTCTTCCAAGGTGCTTTCTGTATCTTAGGGAACTTGTTGGCCAGGCCTGCATCCACCTCCTCCTCTCTCAGATGTGTGAATGTTGATGTTTGTATCTGGGATCAGAAAGTCAGTACATTTGCTCAGAGCCAGGAACCCGAAATTGGAAGTCTCCCCTTCTCCCTACATTGAAATGGTTACAGAGCAAATTGACCCTTCTAACAGTCTAGTTAGGGGTCCCTTCCTAACTCGGCTAAGGGGAGCTAGTCTGAAGGGAGGTCATAAGGAGACAGTTCTGACTTAAGAAGGACATACAGAGCCCTGGTGGTGGAATGGGTTTCATATTGGGCTGCTAACAGGAAGATCGGCAGTTAAAATTCACCAGCTGCCCTGAGGGGACAAAGTTGAGGCAGCCTGCCTGCATTAGGATTTATGGCCTCAGAAACCTAATGGAGGGTGGTGTTGGAGGGTTGGTTTTGGGGTTTTTGTTTGTGAGTTTACTATACAGCAGTTCTGAACTAACCCATATGTGTCATTTCTTCTTTGTAGTTGGAGACCCTCTCCCCACTAAGTGCCTCTTTGCCTAGCACTGGCCCCCCAGCCCCACGCTCACTGGTACAGCAACAGCAGATCGGGCCATGGCGGGTCGGGGAGGTGCAGCACGACCCAATGGACCAGCTTCTGGGAACAAGATCTGCCAATTTAAACTGGTTCTGCTGGGGGAGTCAGCGGTGGGCAAGTCCAGCCTCGTCCTCCGCTTTGTCAAGGGGCAATTCCACGAGTATCAAGAGAGCACAATCGGAGGTGAGCGGGCAGGAGGGAATGTGGGAACGTCAGAGAAGCCAAAGAAAATGGCCTGGCGTTGAGGAGAAGGGAAGCGACCTGCCCAGGGCAGCAGCACCCCTCCCTCATCTGAGTGCTGGTATCAAAGCCAGCAGTTCCATGCAAGGGAGAGTCAAGAAGCACCACTAGCAGGAAAGAGCTGAGAGTTCAAAACTGACTTCCTTCCTAGCTTTGCCTCTTTATTATTTATATGGCCTTGACCCTGACCTGGCCTCGCCTCTGGGATGGGAGAGGCTGAGCCTGGATTTCGACAGGCTCTTCCTGGAGCCCTTATACCTCAGCTTCTCCCTGTCTGAGAATCAGCCTGGGAAGTCATGGCTGGAGAGGAGACTAGTGTTTCTGTTCCTTATCTCTTTTTTTCTTTTTCCTCCATCACATTGGGAAACAGGAGTGACATCCACTTCCTAAACAACATGCCTCTGGAAACTCTATATGAGCTTTGATAAATGACGATAGTTATAGAAAGGCTTCAGGTCTTTTGTTCATAGGGTCGCTATGAGTAGTGCTCGACTTGACAGCAATCAGCAACAACAAACCATCACATTGATTTCCCAGCGTTAAAGATGTGAGGGTCTAGGCTCAGCCTTAGTGGCCTCAAGGGCCCAGGCTGTCCTTGGTCTTGAGTCATCCTTTCTCTGCCCTCTTGGTTGGTAGGTGGTGTCCAGGCAGCTGAAACAAAATGGTCCATGTCAGCGGTTTTCTTGCTGCCTCTTCAGCACTGGGGTCAGGAGCTGATGAAGGGGAAGTGAGGCGGAGCCCCAGGTCCCTCAGTGAGGGGGAGGGTAAATGAGAGTAGACTTTCCTCAGAAAGCTGGATCCTCTTCTGGGTCCAGGGCCAAGGAGGCTCCCACATGTCTACTCCAAACCTGGGATCTTCCTTTAAAGCATTTGTGCAAACACCTCATGTTCTTCAGCCCCCTCAGGCCTGGAGGCTCGGCCACGGCATGGTCATAACAGCAGTGGGTCTGGGTCAGAGTCAGAGAGGGGAGAAGGAGGTGGTGGCTAACCACAATGCCTGGAGGTAGCGGGTCAGTGGGAAGCTGGCCACCCAGCCTCTGCCTGACAGTGGAACAGCCTGTCCTCCAAGGGTTCCCTACCACAGCTGCAAGTGAACACCCTCTGGAAACTGAAGGGCTGCAGTACCCCTGGGCCAGAGCATCCAGAGGTCCTGGAGCCGTTTCCAGCTGGGCTGTGCTCTGAAGAGAGGCGGAGAGGAAGATGAGAAGTGCTGACTGTTTTCACTCCTGCCTCTCAATGCTGTCTACCCCAGAGTGGTCCCAGAACAGTTCAAATGCAAGTAGGCATCCTTCCTTTTGCTGCTTTGCCCAGGCTGAGTCTGGAAAGCCTGTGCACTCTTCATCCCCAGACCTCACAAGCAAGATACAAATTCTACCTAGCCAGCTGGGCCCTCTTTCAGCTGCTGGGCTGGACCTTCTCTGTACCTGTCATGGCAGCAGGCAGCAATGTTGGTGCCTGGGGGCAGCCGTGGAAGTGTGGGATGGTGGCTTGCTTCTGACGATTCCTTCTCTCTCACAGCGGCCTTCCTCACACAGACTGTCTGCTTGGACGACACAACGGTCAAGTTTGAGATTTGGGACACAGCTGGACAGGAGCGGTATCACAGCCTAGCCCCCATGTATTATCGGGGGGCCCAAGCCGCCATTGTGGTCTATGACATCACCAACACAGTAAAGCATTTTTCTTTCTCCTTCCCCCCCTACTCGTCTTCTCAGAGCCCCAGGAAGTGGGTTATAGAGGCTCCCATTCCAGGTCCCTCAGCCCTCCAGGCCCTGCAGCCTGTCTATACTTGGGGTATGTGAATGTAGGTTTTCTCTATCTGAAAGCATCTCCCCAAAGAATCTTTAAGGTGTTGACACCTTTAGACACATTGGCTATGACTAAGTAAGCTTGTCTAGTGTATGAGCCTGGGCAGGATGCCTCCTCCATCCCCTTGACATTCTGTCCCTGTCTCCCCAGGATACATTTGCACGGGCCAAGAACTGGGTGAAGGAGCTACAGAGGCAGGCCAGCCCCAACATCGTCATCGCACTCGCAGGCAACAAGGCAGACCTGGCCAGCAAGAGGGCCGTGGAGTTTCAGGTGGGGAGATGATGGGACGTAAGTGGAAGGGCAGGGTGTACCGTCACCCCCTGGCTCCCCCCTGGCTGCTCAGGGCCCTTGGGAAGGCCCTTGCCAGGAGGCAGCAAAAAGCTTTAATCTTCTGTTCCACTCCAGCCTACAAAGGAAGCATCTGCTTCTCCCTGTTCATTTTCTTTGAGAGAAGAGGGTGCATATGTATAGGGTAAACTTGTTAATTTTCTACTCACAAATTGACTTTTTAATTCAATTTGTTGAAGAACATAATTTTTAAAAACTTAATAAAAGAGGGTATACAGAAATGTAAATCTCTCCTTGCCTTAGAAACCCAGGTTCCTACCATTTTTTGCCTTTCCAGAAATTGACACGTGCAGTGAATCACTTTACACAGCTGGGAGTATGCTGCCATGTATTGCCATGACTTCTTTGTCCCTGGTCTCTTACTGGTGGTCTTGCAGGTTGTTTGGGACAGCAGCTTGCTAGAAGCGGTGCTGTGGTCACCTGTGCATACCTGTGCTTTTGTCCAGATGTGCAAGTGTCATTGTGGAGTAATGTTCTTGAAATCTCCCTAGTCCAGTAATTGCAAGAGCAAGAAAATAGAGCATTTGTAAAATTCATACCTAATAGTTATCTTGTCTCTTTAAAAGTGTTATTTGTCTGATAAAAGTTGTTTTCTACAGAATACATTTCAGGATTGCATCAACAAATTATAAAAGTGAAATCATGTTTGAAGAGAATAGTGATAGTGAATCATTTCTAATAAGTTAAATGCTTTTGTCTTAACTTTATCTAATTAGGGAATCCTATGCCAGTTTTTAAAATTACATACTTTTTGGTATAATAAGTATAAAACTTTTTTTTTAAAGAAAAAATCTCTTAAGCAATCTCTTAAGAAAGAAATCTACTGATGGGTGTGAGCTCAGAAGAGCTATATAAACAGGACAGAGTCATGGGGCTGAGGTCTCAGGAGGAAACGGAGCAGGGAAGACTTTGTCCTGTCTCTGTTGTGTATAATACACCTTGGTCAGGGAGGATTTTAATCCTAGGCCCAAGTGCTGATGTTTCCCTCCCACTTCTCTCCAATCCAGGAAGCACAAGCCTATGCAGATGACAACAGTCTGCTGTTCATGGAGACATCAGCAAAGACTGCGATGAACGTGAATGAAATTTTCATGGCAATAGGTTAGTTGCCTCCCACCAAGAGCGTATCACTGCGCTGCCCCACTTGAGCAGGTCTCTGGGTGGTCCCTCACTATGCTGATCATCCGATAAAGTAGTCGTCGTCTTCATCTGACTCTCACCCCCAAATTTTCTAAAGCCTGTGCCAGTATTTCAGCACCTTACTCCTTCATGCTTTCTCTAGATTCCAGTCACTATTTCCCTTCCTACTTCCTGAATTTTTTTTTTTAGCATTTAGAATCCTGCCTGTGGTCAAATCCTAACTCTCTCACTTAATGGCTCTGGTCTTGAGCAGGCTGTGTAACTTCTTTTTGTCTCAGTTTCCTGAGAACACTCCTGGGATAGACTGCTTCTCTGTGTCAGTTATTATTGACCGCGTGGAGAAGGCCAGATTCTGCTCCATTGGTGTCAGGAATGAGTACTGGGTTGCCTACTCAAATGCATGTTTCTCCTCCTCTCCCACACAGCTAAGAAGCTCCCCAAGAATGAGCCCCAGAATGCTGCTGGTGCTCCAGGCCGGAACCGAGGCGTGGACCTCCAGGAGAACAACCCAGCCAGCCGGAGCCAGTGCTGCAGCAACTAAGCCCCCCTTGCCTACCCACTGCCCCCACCTCCTCCGCCTGAACGACCCGACTGGAATCCAATCTAACCAATCGCACTTAACGACCGGGCCACTGCTGGGGGGGGGGCAGGGGGAGGGGTCCACCATGATTTCTCCATATAATTTTGATCATAGGCCGGAGTGAGTTATTCCACCTGCACCTTTCTGTACAAATACTAATTCAATTTTAAGTCTTAAGTCACTTTTTTAATATATATGATCTGCTCTTCCCACTTCCCTTTCTACTGTCCCCCTACTTTTCCTTTGCTGGTAGTAGCCACATGCTCCGTTCCCCTCCTCACTCTTGCGCATGGGGCAGGGCGCTGGAGCAGTTAACCCTTCCTTACTTTTTGCTGAGTAGAAGACTTGGCAGTGCATCCACATCCTTACCTGTTTGGAGGGGGCTTTGTCTGGGGTTGGGGGAGGCTGTGGAGGCTACAGATGGAGAGCAAGCTCTTCCCTCTGCAGGCTGTCTTAGACTGCACCCCAAAGCCCCACAGCTGGGAGAGACAACATTACTACAACTACTTATCACACGTTATTGTGACAGCCATGAACCCGTTGCCCACCTGCCCCACCTTGGTCACCCTGACCTCTGGCTCTGAGCCTCGTTCTGACCAAATCACAATGATGAGTATTTGGGGGTGGGTGGGTAAGGGGGGGTGTTGGGGAGGGACGGAACCAACTTTTTCTGTATTTTGTATTGTATGTTTTCTTCAACATGTAACCAATCAGTATCTTGTCAATATAGTCAGCCGATCGACCTTGGTCTTGTCTTGTCTTTCTCTGGCAGTTTATCAGACCAGGCCTCTTCCGTTTTCTTGATGTTAATTTGAAATCAGCCACTGAAACTTGTTAAAACAACAGCCTTTTTTTCCCCCTAATGTAAGGGGATGCTGGTGGTCATGGTAACCAAGAGAAAGAGGCTCTTACTGTGAGCAGCATCTGTGGGGTGGGGGTGGGGTCAGACTGACCTGGGGCTGAATCTAATGGATATTTAGTTCCAGGGCCCAGCATCAGCTCCTCCCCTGCAGAGTGTGTCTAGTTTGTATTTCAAGATTATTGGGTTCTGGAAACACCAGACATGAGCAGTTGGAGTGGGCCTGTGTGGACTCTGTCCTCTTACCCTAAAGAACATCCACATCCTCTAGAATTTTGGCTGCCCTCCCTGTTTTCCTCACTCTGCCCCCAGTACCCTATCTCTCCCCACCCATGTCAAGCTATCCCCTTCCCTGGCCCTGAGGGGCCCACCCTCTGCTGGTTCTGGAGCCACAGGAAACGTGGAAATCCCAGCTGTGGCTGTCAAGGGCTGCGTGGCCCTACTAGTAAAAGGAGCTGAGTAGGGCTACACTCATCTCCAGCTCCCAGGGAGAGCTATGGAAGCCTTGATCTCTGAGGGACGTCCACCCAGAGGTACCTGCCCCATTCAAACAGCAGCTCCACTTCCTCTGACCCCAACCCCCAGAAGAAGACCACAGACACCCTGGTTGCTGCACATCGAGCTGGTTTACTGGCTTAGGCTAGGTTGTAACTTCTGGAGTAGTGGCTCTCGAGATTTGGAGTGGAAGACTGCCAGGATTCCAAGACAGGCAGTACCGGGCACTGGCTTTGAACACACAGGTAGCCAGAGGGGCTCAGCATGCAGGTCAAGGTGGCAGGATCTAGGTCGGGCGGTAGTTGCATTTCCCGGTGCACTTTTCGCTTCATGCGGATGCCCCCATTTGGTCCGCAGCTCTCCATCTGCTGCTGGCCGGTCACCGTCAGGCACCTCCCATCGACTCGCACTTCCAGCTCTTCCGGGTTGAAGCCATGGGTATCCACCTTCAGTTGGAAACCGCTCTGTGTTGGATCATTCTGCGCGGGCAGTTGGTCATCCTTTAGGAGCCATACTGGCAGTCTGGCTCCTTGTGTCTGCTCAACAAGAGCAGGACTGGAACTGCTAAACGCCGCCACCTGCTTGTCGTTGGAGAAGCCGCTCCCAGCCTGCTGCATCGATGTGAGCAACTGTTGTCCAAGAGCGCGCACAGATGAGCGCAGCTCACCCAGAACGAGGCTGCGCGCGTGGCCGAGCACGAGGGTCGCTTCTAGGGATAAATCCGCATAAAAGGACGCTTCACTCCGTGTGGCCGGCTCTGCCCTGTCGGGTTCAGCTTGGTTCCCTTTGCTGCCTAAGCATGAGCAGTTTGCTCCTGGATAACTTTTGCTTTGCAGAGTTCAGGGTCAGGTGTACACAGTGTACCCCCAAGGGCCTTTTGTCCTGAATCCTGCTCCGTTCTAGGACTCTTTCCCCCCACCCTCTTCATAGGTCACAGAGGGTCCATGCACAGGACTGGACTGGGCCTAAAGGAACCCTACCCTGGAACCTCCTATCTGGGGCACGTGTGGTCTTTCTGAGTTACTCATTTTCCTGACCTTGCTACAGTGGCTCTTCCACAACATTTGAATGCTTCAAGGTGGGCACACCTTGCCCTCAAGAAGAGAAGAGCCCTCTTCTAGGCTCCACCTCACTCCCATCCCAAGAACTTCTGTAATCACAACAATGCCTCTAGCACTCAGCATTTTTAAAATAAACTTATTAAAACAGAAAAGTGCATAAACCCATATGCATTATCACAAAATGCATACTCATGCAACTTACACAGCTCAAGAAATGGCCGTGGTAGAACTCTCACTTCCTCTGTAACTGGAATTTTGTCCCTGAGGGTAGGGAGCCCTGTGGGGCAGGGGCTTGTGGGACTGGTTTTGTGGAGAAGTGCGTGGCACCCCAGGCCCCCAGCAAGCTTCCACCATCGTGCTTGGGAGGTGAGCAGAGCCCTTGCTAGTTAAGAGATTCTTTCATATAATCTGTCTCCTTACGTGCTTTCGCCCCTAAGAGGACAAATATCTTTACCATCACAGAGGCTTCAAGGAGGGTTCAGAAGTGAGAAGGGATCAATCTGGGATGCAACCTCGAGCTTCACCTGGCTGGATGTGGGGTACGGAAATGTCTGGAAGCGGAGACAGAGGGGAAGTAACGATGGAAGACTACAACTCCCATCGTGCCCCAGTAATGCGAAGCATGCGCACTGAGCGCCGGTTGCCCATGCGGCCCTAGGGCTGGGAGCGCTCCGCTGCGGGGGAGGCCATGGCGGAACCTTCCCAGGCTCCCACCCCGACCCCAGCCGCGCAACCCTGATCCCTTCAACCCCTAGTATCTGCCCCAATCTCCGCCCCTGCTCCCAGCCCTGCTTCGGCCCCGGCTCCAGCTCCCACCCCGGCACCAGCTCCCGCCCCAGCTGCGGCCCCAGCCGGGAGCACAGGGACTGGGGGACCCGGGGTAGGAAGTGGAGGGACTGGGAGCGGGGGGGATCCAGCTCGACCTGGCCTGAGCCAGCAGCAGCGCGCCAGCCAGAGGAAAGCGCAAGTCCGGGGACTGCCGCGCGCCAAGAAGCTTGAGAAGCTAGGGGTCTTCTCGGCTTGCAAGGTGGGGGCGGGGCCTGGCGTGAAAGGGGCGGGGCCTGGGACAAGGACTTGGGAGGGAATGGGGGCAAGCTCTTGAGGGAGAGCGGCGCTTTACCCCTGGGTAAAAGGGCATTGCCTGAACCTTCTGCCTTCAGGCCAATGAAACCTGCAAATGTAATGGCTGGAAAAACCCCAAGCCCCCCACTGCACCCCGCATGGACCTACAGCAGCCAGCCGCCAACCTGAGCGAGCTGTGCCGCAGCTGTGAGCACCCATTGGGTAAGGCAATGACGGGCTGGGGCTGTTGCTTCTTCTGCTTGTACAGGATATTTTAAAGTGCCACATGATAGCATCTCTGAAAAACCAGAGATGCATCGTAAAGAAGGATTAGTTTGGGAATATATATGGTTCAAAGCCGGTGAAAGAAAATCTGGCCGCCCAGAAGCAGCAGCCACGCACCCAAGGGTTTCATACAGGAACAGCCGGTCTCCTTGGCTAGTCTCACTGGTTAGAGGGGCCGAGGGCGTGTGTACCTTCTAGAAAGCCGGGAAGGTGGCTTCTTCTGATCTCTTCTACCAGCCTTCCCAACTCTACTCTTTGTCGGTCTTACAGCCGACCATGTGTCCCACTTGGAGAATGTGTCTGAGGATGAGATCAACCGATTGCTGGGGATGGTGGTAGACGTGGAGAATCTGTTCATGTCTGTTCATAAGGAGGAAGACACAGACACCAAGCAGGTCTATTTCTACCTCTTCAAGGTGAGCTTCCTCTGAGTGAAGTGAGGCTTTGGATGTGAGCACTTAACTTCCCAGCTCTGCTGACTCTTGCTCTGCCGCTTCCCATCTCCTCTAGCTTCTACGGAAATGCATCCTGCAGATGACCCGGCCTGTGGTGGAGGGATCCTTGGGCAGCCCACCGTTTGAGAAGCCTAATATAGAACAGGTGGGATGGGAAATGTGGCAAGGCAGGAATTGGGGGAAACTTGGAGAGTTGGTCTGTAGGATGTGGAATATTTTTTCTTTTGCAGAAAGCCCCATGGGAAGGGCACCTTGTCTCCCGCCCTCACAGAGTACCTGCTTTTGCATAAGAAGCCCCTGTGGTTGCTCACCCTTTACTCCCTGTTTCCGCTCCCATTTCTCCTGCCCATTCTCAGGGTGTCCTGAACTTTGTGCAGTACAAATTCAGCCACCTGGCTCCCCGGGAGCGGCAGACAATGTTTGAGCTCTCAAAGATGTTTCTTCTCTGCCTTAACTACTGGAAGCTTGAGACACCTGCCCAGTTCCGGCAGAGGTCCCAGGCCGAGGATGTAGCCACCTACAAAGTCAATTACACCAGGTGGGCCTGGCTGGATAAGCTCGGGGAGTGGTGTGTACACTCAGCCTGGCCTTAAATTCTTTTTGCCCTCACTTAACCGCCTCCTGCAACCCCACAGATGGCTCTGTTACTGCCACGTACCTCAGAGCTGCGATAGCCTCCCCCGCTATGAGACCACACATGTCTTCGGGCGAAGCCTGCTCCGCTCCATCTTCACTGTCACCCGCCGGCAGCTGCTGGAAAAATTCCGAGTGGAGAAGGATAAGTTGGTGCCCGAGAAGAGGACCCTCATCCTGACCCACTTCCCCAAGTAAGGCTCGCTCTAGCCTCTCAGGACCTTTCCTGGATTCACATGATTCCTAGGAACGCGTTCTGGACTGGTCCCTGCTCCCTTCCATTAGTCTTCTGGGATCTGGCCATCTTTCTGGCCAGCTTGTCCCGGCTCTGATGTAACTTGCTAGCGTGTTGCCCTTGTACATCTGGGAATGACAGGGCCGTGGCATGAGTGCTCCTCTTGTGCCCAGGGTAGATGTTACTAGTTCTTTCTGCCAGGCCTGTCCACAGCTTCAGAATCCTTCCCTCAGCAAGCACTGCAGGAAACTAGAGTTTACACTGTGGAACTCCAGGGTTTACACTGGAAGTGAAACTGATTTCCATCCCTGTTCACAAGGCCATTCCTGCTTTTTCCTTGCCCTCCAGGACTCCTGCTGGCAGTGGGAAGAAGTGGAGGCAGGGTTGGGTGGACTCTGAGCCCCATTTTGTGACCGAGGAGACTGTGGTTCAGGCTAACTGGCCATTGTGTGGCCACACACACATAGGGCACCTGTCACAGGCCTTGTGTCCAGGTTCCTTCCTCTGGGCTGTGCATCATGCCAGAAAGCTGGCCCCATGAATCTCAATTTTAGATGTGTCTGATCCTATTACCTTCAACTGGGGACTCCCAGGAGGCAGAGGGCTGAACCTCCCCCTTCAGACTAGGGGTTTCCAGGAGGTAGAGGTGTTTCCACCCCTATTCCCCAAGAGTGGGTGTGCCTCCTTGTTCTGGTGCCCAACTCCACTCCACCGAAGCCTTGGTAAGTGATGGAACTGGGGGATCCTCCCCCTAGATTCCTGTCCATGCTGGAGGAAGAGATCTATGGGGCAAACTCTCCGATCTGGGAGTCGGGCTTCACCATGCCACCCTCCGAAGGGACACAGTTGGTGCCTCGCCCAGGTACGTGCTGCCTGGTTCTCTGCTTGCTGTCCTGGCCGAGCTGAGCCTCTCTAGAGAAGGGACAGAGAAGGCTTGGAATGTAGGGGAGCCCCTGATCCTTTTGAGAAGCTGTGCACACCTGCCAGCCCCATCTGATCTGTCACTCAGCTGCCGTCAGTGCTGCAGTCGTTCCCAGCACCCCCATCTTCAGCCCCACCATGGGAGGCGGCAGCAACAGCTCCCTGAGTCTGGATTCTGGAGGGCCTGAGCCCATGCCAGGTGGGTCCTTGAACCTTGTCCTCTGACCACTGTGCACCCCTCCCCCAATCCTCTTGCTGTCTCGGGGAGACCTTGTCCATCCCTCCAGCAGGTGAGAAGAGGAAGCTCCCAGAGAACCTGACCCTGGAGGATGCCAAGAGGCTGCGGGTGATGGGCGACATCCCCATGGAGTTGGTTAACGAGGTCATGCTGACCATCACGGACCCTGCCGCCATGCTGGGACCTGAGGTGGGGAGCCTGGCTTGCTGGTCAGTGTGAGGGAGGGGCCCTCACTGACCTGAGACCTCTCCTCACCATCCCACCTCTGGTACCCAGACCAGCCTGCTGTCAGCCAATGCAGCCCGGGATGAGACCGCCCGCCTGGAGGAGCGGAGGGGCATCATCGAGTTCCATGTCATTGGCAACTCGCTGACGCCCAAGGCCAACCGGCGGGTGCTGCTCTGGCTCGTGGGCCTGCAGAACGTCTTCTCCCACCAGCTGCCACGCATGCCCAAGGAGTACATCGCCCGGCTCGTCTTTGACCCGTGCGTCTCCTCAAGATCCCCTGGACCCCATACCCTGGAGCCCTCCTTGGCCTCCCCTCCCCGGGCTTCTCCCTCCATTACTGATCCTCACTTCCCAACTCTGAATGCAGCTCAGACCTCCAGCCTGGAGGTCCTGGGAAGCAGTTGGTGGACAGGAACCCTCTCTCTCCTCAGGAAGCACAAGACTCTGGCCTTGATCAAAGACGGGAGGGTCATAGGTGGCATCTGCTTCCGCATGTTCC